AAATAAATCAAATATATTTTTTAATTACAGAAAAGATTATTTTTTAAAGAAGTATAACTTTAAAAGAAGCTTAATTAATATTGAAAAGTATTTTAATTCTATATGAAAAAATGCAAAAAAAAAGATAGATTTAATATCTTTTAATTAAACACTAATTGTTTATTTTATGGGAGATAGAGGAGTACTGGAAATAGTCGATCATCTGTTGATGATTGGTTCCCTTGTTGTTACATATTCCTTGGTTTTGTTTCACAGATGATGATCCCTAATTTTGCCCCTTAAGGTGACGTTATTAGTAGTTGAATAGAAAAATTAATAAAAAGAATAAAATGGTGTGGAAGACGTTGGGTACAGGGTCAAGTGCGTTAAATGGGTATCTTCTTGTAGGAGTACTGGAAGCATAGACGATTGTTTTTTCTGCAATAGGTATATCAAGGATCAGTATTCTTCGACAGGGTTGGATGTTAAACGAGTACCTCTGCGAAGCAAGTGCCGAGAAATTTTGGGTAAAAAGTCGTATCGATTCACTAGAATGTAGAACATCTGGGCCGTAAGAAATTGGCTTATTTTGGAATTGATACTTACTGGGACGGTCGTAGAAGGGATGGTCAGGGGTGTTCATCCTCAAGGGGTATCCGGCAAAGTACTAGGTGTCGGCCTTCAGACGAAACAGTATAAGCAGTCGTCTCAATTCATCTGGAATATCCGTTAGGGTGATCTGGAACTGGTCTTGGTAGGGAAGGTATAGAGGTAGAAGTAGATTAATTTTCTTTCTTGTATCTTTTAGTTTTAGTATTAAATAGTTTTCCTTTCCTTCTGGAGGTTGGTACTAGTAACCAGCTTCTATAATTCCTTTTAAAAAGTGTAGTGGCTTTTTTTTAATATATTGTACTAGTTAGAAGACCCAAGTATTTTGTGGGGAGATATGGGAGGACTGATTGAAAGATTTTTTATTTGGTGCTAACACTGGGGTGTGAGGGAGAATCAGAGCATACTAATATTTAAGGAGATCTTGCTTTCAGTCCTCACTCTAAGGACTCATGTACGTAAGTGTGACGCGTTGGAATTTTCCTTTTGGATGGAGGTCTTATATCTGTTCTTTTTAATTTTATTTGTTATTGTATACTGGGCATTGTTCAACAATTTACAAAATAAAGTTCATAATACAGCGCGTCTTCAAAAAAAAAAATTGTTTATTTTATATATAATTTATTAGATTATATATTATATAATATTATTAATAATATTGAAATAGATGATCTGGTTATTTATATCAATTTTTAGAAAGTGCATAATCTTAATCAGAATTTTGTATTGCAAAAGCTATATTATTAATCTAAAAGATATTATTGTTAAATTGCTAAAAAAATGCAAATAATTTGTAAAAAATATGGAGATTACTTATCTTTAATTAAAGTAAAAAAAAAAATGGTTAAATAAATAGACTCTATATCAGATTCATAAATCTTACCCAAAATTTATCCAATATATTTCTTTTAATAATATACAAGATCTAAATAATCTATTATTTTCTCATAATAAAATAAGTAAATAATTTTATAAATATAAATTTATAATAAAAGATATAACTATTAATAAGTTTTAATGTAATTTTATTTTAATTAATAAATTATCTGTATAAATAATCAAATCATTTTAAAAAATTTATAATAAATCAAATTGTTTTCTTATTTGATCAAAAGTTTTAATTATTAATAAAAGTATTGAATTTATGAATAGTATAGTAAAAATAATACTATAACTAGTTAGTTAAGGTTATAATATTATAATTATAATATTGCAAATATTACAGATTTTTAAAATCTGAATTCATAATTCCAGCCAAAATTAATATAATTTTAACCAAAATACTGTAGATTAAAAATCTTTATTAAAGCATATTTTTATTATCACCATTTTCAAATTAGTGTGATCAGATGATTTTATTGATCAATTAAAATTAAGCTACCAAAAATACTGAAAACAGCTGAAGACATATTAAAAATACTGCTTATTTTATATGCTAAAACATAAAAAAAAATAATTTAATAATTATATTTTTTTTTAAAAAAAATGAATCTTCTCTTTAAAGAATAAAAAACTAATACAAGAAGAATTAATAAAGAAGCATTACTCTTTCCAAACTCTCTGNCCAAAAACCAAAGATCTAAATAAAAAAAAATAGTTAAAAATGAAAAAAAAGGAAAAAAACTAACAAAATAAAAAAAAATTATTATCTGTTACTTGAAGGAAATTATTATAAATCTTTAGAGACTCTAGGAATCAGTTTTAGAAATCTTTTAAGAATCAGGTTTTTAGGAATCAGTTTATAAGCTTTAGCAAAAACAAAAAAGATAAATGATAAAAATGATTAATAAAATAATAAGATTATACAATAGTGGCTTAGAGTTATGCAGATCAAATGATATTTATAATTTATATAGTAAAACATGATTTTATTTTTGTAGTTAGAGAATCATTTTTATTTATTACAAATTAATTACCAATCACACTAATTCAAAAATGATGATAATATCAATGATGATAAAATTACTATTTAAATTATCTTATTAAGATGAATTAAATAGTATAAGATTTAGTAAAATACAATTACTAATTATTATTTAATATTAATAGTTTTTAAATAATTATAAAGCTATAATTTCATCAATTTAATAATAGAAAGATAAATTTACTATTATTTAATTTATTTTATTAAGACAAAATGATTGGTATAAAATTTATCAAAATCTAATTACTAGATAATATTTTGTTATTAATAATTTTTAAATATTTATTAATCTATAATTCAAATAATATTAATGGTAAAAAAATGATAATTTATGTCATTTGATTTTTCTTATTAAGATGATTTAAATGGTATAAAATTTATCAAAATTCAATTACTAAATTTTGAATAATTAGCAATTCTATATTATATATGAATCATATATTTTGAGTTGTGAAGTTGTTAGTTGTGGACTATTATGTGTAATTTAATTTAAAAATTTGCAATATTACAAATTTAAAAATATAATTGCAATATCATTTTTAACTGAATATAAAAATTTATTATTTACTAGTTATAGCATTAAAATTCAGTATGTCAACTCTAAGTAAAGTGCTTTTATATAATAAGATGCTAGATTTATATTTATGCTTATCTAAAAAATACGGAATATAAATTAGAGATCTTTATATAAATGATAATATTTTTAATAATATTTCTATTCAGTTAATAAGTATGTTCTTTAATAAAGCTATAAAAAAAGTATTAAAGAGTAAAAAAAATAATTACTAGTTCTATTATTAAACATAAAAGACCAGTTGGATATAACAAATTATTTTTATCTAGTTATACTAAAGTTTATTATCTTTTAAAATCTAATAAATTAGAAAATTAAAGAAAAAAAGTAACTAATTGCAATTAATCTTTTAAAGTTTTTATGATTGATTCTTATTTAATAAAAAAAAATTAACTGATTCTTTATAAATTTTATAATAGTCTTAGATACTTATTTTGAAAAAATTCAATGTTATCACCAAATATATTCTTAATTATTAGACTTGTTTTCTCTTTCCTTTATTTAATATAAGATTTATTTAAAGATATTACTTAAATAATTACCGTATATCACGGGCCATAGTACCCCCCCTATGCATAGTACCCCTCTTGAAAAATTTAATAGAATTGTATAGTATCTGGGGGGATATTTTACAATTATCTCGTGATCCAGTGATCAGATTTGAGCCATCTTTTTTTTGTTTGATAGCTCTCATTGAGCTCTTCATAATAAAAAAAAGATCGTTCAAATTGGACCGGTATATCGTGAGATATTCGCAAAAAACGGAATTTTTAGGTTTTATTTAGTACCCGGGGGTACAGGGTCAAACCCCCGATTTTTGCAAGATACCCGGGGTACTGTGACCCGCTATATACGGTATTTATCTCTGAATGATTGTAAACTATAATTTGTTTATTTTTAAGCTAGTCTGTTTATATATTTTTACTTTTCCTGACTTTTCATTTCTAGGCTTATTATTTATAAGAAATTTGATAAGTAAGCATAAAGCAAATTTAAATTGCCTGCACTTATCAAATTTCTTTTCAAGTATTTTCTTAAATTGCTTTTTTTGGCTTTTTAATATTTTTTGTATATCACTTTTATTATCTGGATGAGATCTTAAACCTTTTGTATAATACATTACTATAACTCTTCTTTTAACTGTCATGTCTAAATCATATTGCTTTCTAAATTCTAGATCTCTTTCTTATTTTTTAATAATTTTTTTCAAATGCCTGAATTTGCTTTTTTTTTATAAGCTTGGATTGCTAAATTAAAACCATCTTTTTTCTATATTAATTTACCAATAGTCTAATGGTAACTTTATCAAATAAGATTACTTTTTCAAAACTACAGACATATATAGAGATCTAAAGAGGTTTTATTAGAAAATTTATCTGTAAAAGAAAATGTCAAACTGTTTAGAAACTATGATGAGCTAAATAAAAAAATGTAACATGTAGTATTATAGCTTTATTTTGGGTAGTCTCATATTGTATCATGTGTTTATGAATAAGATTCATAGTAAATTCTTTTTTTATTTATTTCTTTTCATTTTTATTTTACTTTTTTTTTTTTTAATGATAATTTCTTACTTAAAAGTAAATAAAAGTATATAAATAATATTCAAATTTATTCTTAATTATATTCTATTATTTAATATAGATAAAATTTAGTACAAAAGAAATAGTAGTATAGTTGTGTAACAATTAGTAGAAAAAAGAGTAATAAATATTTTTATTAATTAAGAAAGTAATAAAAGACATTAAATTGTAAAAAAACTATATCCAATGATTACTGCGCGTTTAAAAGGTTGTCATATGATGATCGTCCAAAAATTAATCACGTTGATTCATCAGCAGCAGTTGATATTCATTTTTAATTGAATTTAACTTAAACTCAACAAAAAAAAAAAAAAAAAAGAAAAGAATCTTTTGCATGCTCCGAGAATCGAACTCGGGTCTCGTGCGTGGCAGGCACGAATTATACCACTAAACCAAGCATGCTTAAATATGTAGGTAATTCACGGATTTTATTTAATTAACATAATTTCTGATTGGAGCTAATAAAAGATGATGTGCATGATGCATAGATATGAATGGTAGTAAAATTTTGTGGATTTTCATAATATATTTTTTTCCTAGGAATAAATCCGAAACTAGTGTTGCCAATCAAAACTCATTTTGCAACAAATTTCAGCTAGCGTTTTAATACTTTAAATATCTTAAAATTATAAAAAAAAAATAAACACATTATTTAATGAAATTTTTTTTATTGAAAGATTCATTCAAAATAAAGAAATGGACTTTTTTTTCGTGAATTATAAAATACAATGATAAAAAATATACACCCACCCATTCTCATGATTTTTAGTATACAAAAAAGACTGTAGTTAAATAAATAAATAAACAAAATTACAATAATGATAGTAATAATAAAATAAACTTTCTTCATATCTTGAAGAACTAAACATTTTCCATTTCTAATTCAACTACGTTATTATCGTTATTATTTGGTGATGCTTGCGTATTTGTTGGTCTTACGCTTGTGCCTCTTCTTCCCCTTATACTACCAAATAATTTACCAACGACTTTACCCATTTTAATAACAACATTAGTATTATTATTTCTCTCACTTACTTCACTTTCAATATTATTAATATTATTGTCTTGATTGAGGTTATTAACTGGACTATCAATAATTATTTCTTCAATTTGATTTGGTCTACAATCTGATTTGCATAAAGGACAGCTGCTACTTTTTGTTGTTAACCAGGGATCAATACATTCTACATGATACCAATGTTTACAAGGTAATAATCTTAATTTTTCACCATCCTCAAAATCTTCTATACATATTGCACATGTATCTACGTCACCATCATCTGTTATAGCAGTTGTTGCTGCTGTTGTAGTAGTCGAAGTAGTTGAAGCGGTTGGAGTGGTTGAAGTGATTTGAGAAGTTGGGGTGACTGGAGTAGTTGAAGCGATCGGAGTTGTTGGAGTGGTTGGGGTAGTTGGAGTGGTTGAAGTAGTTGAAGTGACTGTTGAATTGTATAAGTTTGTTGCATTATCAATCGCATTAAGTGATCTCATTGATTTTGTTGAACGAGTTGAACGAGTTGAACGAGTAGATATTGAACGATGAAGTTGTTTATTCGTTGAAGTGGTTTCATTTTGCGTTGTTGAATCATCATTTTCATTTTGTTCAGCAGAATCGCTTGTTGATGGATTTTCAGTATCACTTGTTGAGACTACATTATTCGAAGTTGCCACAGACTTTTTAACATAAATAATGATAGGGAAAGTATCAATAACTTCTTTTTCTAAAGTCCATTTTTTCATTCCTAATACTTCATCAGCAGCCCTCTGTCTTCTTATTTCATCTTGTTGATTCCTCCTTAACCGATAAAGTCTCATGTGAATTAAAATAGATACAAAAAATGAAGCAACTAAAATACCACCTACAGCAAACATAGCAAATAACCAAGAACTAACAATCAATTGACGATAAGGACTCAAAGTGACAGTTAATACAGTTGTAGGATCTTTTTGATTTTTTGAGTAAATAATATATAATGAATTTAATTCATCTAATAAATCTTTACCCGCTGGTCTATTAATAGTAAATATTGTTATTTCATAATCATCTGGTTTTAAATTCAACACATCATCATTAAAATTATTATTTTGTGGCATAAGAATTATTGCTTTATCTTGATCAGCTATCGAATTATTAATTTTCGTTTCTAACGTACAATTTGTATCAGATGTTATTAAACCAATTTTATAAGGTGAAAGTGCATTAGGTACTGGAATTGATGGAACAATTCCAAATGATGGAGGATCTTTTGAATTAAATTTAACACTTTGACAACCATTTCCACGATCATATAATATTCCTCTTAAATTTTGACTTGTATTATTAGGAAGATTACCTTCAACTTCTTGTTGTACATTTCCTTTGCCAGAAGCATCATAAGTATCATATAATTGAGTACCACCTACTGATGAAGGGAATCCATCATCGGGTGACTTTTGAATATTATCTGGAATATTCCTTGAATCAAAGGTTAATAATTCAGAAGTAATTATTGGACCCGACCCTGCCGGTTTTAATACTTGATGTGTTGTAGCAAAATATAATATACTAATTAATGCTATTAAAAATATCAATACACCATAACGAACCATTGAATTTGATTTTAACGTATGTATTATAGTACTACATACACTTCTTCGTCTTTGTGGGTGATGATTTGTGGTGGTAACGGTACTAGTAACGGTGTTATTGTTAATAACTGAAGTTCTTTGAGCTTCTTGTGGTCTAGAATTTTCAACTTCTGAATGTGGTGCTGGTAAAGTAAATGGCATATTGATTGTAAAGTTTTTTAAAAAAAAAAGTTATAAATGGATGTGTATATATATATATAAAGTTGTGTTCTCAAATAATCATAACTCAATTATTATTAAAAGAGACGAAACAACTTTTTAATCTATATATATTAAATATTTATATAAGAAAAATAGGTTTTTTTTTTTTGAAAAAAAAAAAAAAATTTTCATTAATTCTTTACCTTTTCTTTGACTTAAATAAGAGTAATAATGAAATTGACGATCATAACCTATTTTTAATAAAATCAATTCAGGTTTTAAAAATATTTATAGGTTACAAACTTAATTAAGTAAATACCGAATTCCTATTTTTATTAAAATGATCAATTACCTCTGCGTAAATTTAATTTATAACATAAGGGGAAAGTTTTAGCTTTTTGCTTTAGCATTTAGAGGAAACATACCCAATATAGACAAAATATAGTTAATAGTAAAAAAAATTATTCAGTTCCTTATTGAAATAATAAAAAACCAAATTATATATAAAGTACGATGATATTGTAAGTTACAAATTTTTGCTCAAAAAAAAATAATAATTTGAATCAATAAATCAACGAAAGCTTTTCTTTCATACCACCTCTGTTATGAGACATTCTGATCGATTTTTATGCAGGATAAGTTTCGAATTTTATTTGTTTATTAATGAATAATCTAGACTAATTTGAATATCTAATGACTGATTTTTTTAATTAATTTATTATAGTTAGTGTCTATCCATGAAAGATAAAAAAGTTACTTTTGTAAAACTTTAACCCTGATGAAGATGATTTTAAAAGTGAAGAATATTACTTCCAAATTCTAACAGTACATGCATCTTTCAAAAGGTAAATTGATAAACATTCCTGTCAGTAAGAATTGTAGAAAATACTGTATTGTTTGTTAACAAGTGAATGATTCCAAATATAAGCTATTCATCTGATCAAGATGTTTTTAAAGAATTTGTAAATAATTTTAAATTATTAATTAATAACACGAACCAATAATTAAAAGATTTTTTGCCAAGTTTTTAAAATATAATCTTTATTTAATTCTTTTTAATTTTTTTTTTGAATCACGTGATATTAAGAATACCGTACGCAAAGTCAAAAGAAAAAAACAGTATATATTATGCAACTAACAATGACATTATTGATTATTCTCTCTCATGTTGATCAAACAATTCCTATGACATGCTTCACTATTCATTACTCGAGCCGCAATCTTGAGTGTTTAATTTCTTTGCGATACTGTAAAGTGAATGCCTTTTCGTGACATACTGTACGTACTGAACCTCTTGATTGTATGAAATTATAAGTATTTCGTATGACTGCAAATCCAAACTGATATTCCACAATGTCTTAAATTATAAATTCATTAACTGTTAATTTTTTTTTTCGCATATTTGGTTACGCCATTACGGTTCATAATTAATTCCGAGATTGTTCTCTTTTTCAGATAAACCATGCGCATAGATGACAGCTCTATTTCTTCGCCAAAAATATTGTGCAATCGAACACGAAATTCTTGGGGTAATCATAGTAGTATACATTGTTTGTTTCGCTCATTTTTTTTTCAGAGTTGAAAAGCCTGTGATACAAAATTAAATCGTAGATTTCGATTACCTTCATGTGACAAATGCAAGATTATCAAACTAATATAAAGAAGAGAATTATAATTTTTTTTAAAAAAATTAAAAAAAATTAGTTGAGTTTATCAAAAATGACAAATATTTTAGGACCACAAAAAGCAAAAGTAGATGGAGGATTTAGAGAAGGTAGTGATTTAATTAAAGAAATGAATAAAATACCTTTATTCATGACTGAAATGCCTGAAGAAGAAAATGAGACTTTAGCTGCTTTACAATCTCTGATTTATGATGGTCCTCCTGAAGGTATATATGTATCAAAACTTTTATTGTTGACTTTTTTTTTTGAATTTGAATAAACTACTTTTTTTGAACAACTTTTTCTTCTAACTTTAAATAGAGGTAGCAGAAAATTTTAAGAATCAAGGAAATGAATGTTTTAAAGTCGGTAAATCACAATATAAAGATGCAATAAATTACTATACAAAGGCATTAGAAACAAATTGTAAAGATAATAAAATTATTGAAGCTTGTTTAACTAATAGAGCCGCTGCTAATCTCGAATTAGGTATTTTTTTTTATCTTATTATATCTTTAATGATAAGTGAATATATATATTTTTGGAAAAACAATTATTTAATAACCAATTACTTTTTGGTGAAAAACAGAGAATTATAGAAAAGTCTTAATAGATTGCTCAAAAGCATTAAAATTAAATCCAAAAAACATTAAAGCATATTATCGTTCTGCAAAGGCATTATATGCTCTTGATAAAATTGTGGAAGCTATCGATTGTTGTGATCATGGACTTACGGTGTGTCATTTGGTTTAATTTTTTTGTTTGGAGAATTAAGTTATTCTGATACAAATTTATACCATTTAGATACAACCAAATAATACAGTATTACAAAATGAGAAAGAAAAATGTTTTAAGAGAAAAGAAGCTTTAAATAAAAAATGTAAAGAGAAAGAAGAAAGAGAACGTAAAGAACGTGAATCAAAAGAAGAGTTAGAAAGAGCAATAAAGGTATTGTTATAAAATTTATTA